TTTTTACCAGTATCAACTGGAAGGCTCGACACCTATAATCTGCCATTTTTACCAATATTAACTGGTAGGCTCGACACCTATCATCTACACTACCTTTCAAGACTTACCACTGTATTTACCCCAAAACCAATTCATGAAAACTTGTTTCTCAACATTCTTTTCTTAATGCAAAGTTTACAAATCAAATTTCAAAACTCCTCATTATCAAATGAATTGATACGCCAATGTAATGATTAATAATACAATGCAATATTTCTTCCAATTTCAATACTTTCACACAATATTCCCATTGTGATCAAAATTCTCATTTCTCATTTCAATATAATTTCACAAGATGAATAAATACTTTTATTTCAATTCATCTAAGGGATAACATAATTCCCACATTTCAAACATTTCCAACAACTTAGTCATTTCAAGACTATATCAATACTTTTAAACAACAATTTCCAAAACTTCAACAATTCTCTTATTCCATGGAAAACCATCATTTATATGTAATAAATAAACAATTTTCAAACAACATTTATTTTGGCACACAAAATAACTACAACAACTTATTCTAAAGATTTTCAACATCTTTCTTAAATATCCCCAATTTCTAGGTTTTCTTACCAAAAACCATTCGTCTTCAAACATTTGAAAAGATCTCACCAAAAATATCTTTCTTTCATCAACATAATTCAAAAACCCTCAATGTCTATTTCTAAAGGAAAAGAAAGTAAACACACTTTCAAAATCACTCATCTTCTTGAATTAACAATCAATTTTCAAAACTAATGAAAGGATGATTTCAAAAATCATCTAGATCTTGCAAAAACATATATATATATATATATATAACTCAAAGAAAATCCCTACCTCAAGCTTAGAAGAGAAGTTGAACAAAACAAAGTTGAAACTCCAAAGATGTCGAAACCAACTTCTACTTGGATAAAAAAGAAGCTCTTGACAAGCTCTACACTTAATCTCAAAGGAGCAAGGCAAGGAGATGCTTCCAAGAGAGTAGATCTAAAGATCTTTGAGCAAAAAGTGATTTTGGAGAGGATGAAAGAGTCTCACGGCTCGAAGAAGGAAAAAGAGAAGAAAAAGTAAGGAAAAGGTTAAGTAAGAGACCTATTTATAGTACTAGGTCACAATGAAATAAAGTCCCAAAGTCAACCCAAAAGATTAAGTCAAAATCCCCAAAAGTTGGGCCCAAAACTAGACTGAAATATGGAAAAAAAGGTTCGCAGGGGTCGACCCTTGCAACACAGGGGTCGACCCTATGAAGAAAAGCTTATGTTTGACAGCATGCAAAGGGTCGACACCCCCCTCCCCCAGATTGGTGTCGACTCCAAATTCCAGCAAGCAATTTCAGAAAACAAAGGGTCGACCCTTCCCAGACTGGTGTCGACCACAGAACAAGATTTTCAAGTTCCCAAACAACTTTTTAACGTAAAAAAGCGTGAACGAGAAATTCCAACAAGTTTAAATCAATTTGCACTCCTCCAAAACTAAGATACAACAACACTAAAGATTCCCAAAACAAAATAAAGGATTCAAATACACTTCCCAAAAGCTATGAAGGACACAAGTGCTACAAAGATTGTCTTAACAATGGTGATGATCAAGAAACCTGTGAGAGTGTTTATTTATGATGCTGTAAGGTTTTTTGTGAATGAAAAATGTGACCCATTGTTCCAACTATTCATAAGCATTCTTGACAACCTTTGCCAAGAGTTACCATCTTTTGGAAAGAGACACAATGCTATCTTTGTTTTTAAATTCAAATACCAAAAAACCACTTCCAGATTATTCTATCAATTGCGGGATGGTTCGCTGATCACCACATGATGAAGTTTATGATTTGGTGTGAGAGAGTTCACCATATTATGGTGTGATCACCATTCATATCTTCACCACTTCTGAGGGATCAGAGCTAGTTGATTTTGTGATTGGGCAGTGGATGCTTCCTATCATCTGTTGTGATGAAGAGAAACAAAGATACTGCAATGAGGTTGAGGAACACCAGAATAGAACCATTAGAAAATCGTTTACTTTGACATTAGATTGTGTCGGCAACAAAACCATTTACTTGTTATGTCTAGAAAATATGTAATTAGACTAACTGCTAATTTCACTTCTTCCATTACAAATCCTAAAATGAAAATATGATTATAAGATTAAAATTTCACTTTATGTTTGCACTTTCTGATTGACTTTGAAGTCTGTGTTGTAAAGAACAAAATTCAGAAAGAAAAGAGATTGTATAAAATTTGAAAAAAAAAAGTATTACAGTTATATTTTTTTATTAAATTAATGAGTACCAAGAATGTTTTTTATTTGTTTTTAATAAGTAATCCAACATGATTGATAAGGTAGAGATCAAAGATTGACTTACTGGATGAAGTATCCTGTTATTAAATTTCTGGATGAGTAATTGTGTGGTGAAAATTAAATTTATATAGTGTGGGATCCATATGTAAAATAAATATAAATCACAAGATAATTCTAAATAGTTAAATCTGATGTAAATGTAATGTCCATATTCAAGTATTATTATTGCATAATTTGGAACTTTCTATACTCCTTTTCTCCTCCCAAATTGTGTTTAAAAAAAAAAATAATTTGTTTGAAATTAAATTATTATATAATTAAAAACTAGTAATATAGCGATCCCGGTTTTCCCCTTCATGTATTGTTTTCTGAACTCGGGTTTCGTGATTGGTTGTTATTGTGTATATCTTGTTTCCGCCCTTAAATTCCTTGTATTTGAGTTTTGGGATGTGTTGGGCAGATTTGTTACAGGTTAGTTGTGAGTTTAAACCAATGGTTGCTACCCAGGTTTTGGTTTTTTCGCTCGAGCGAGGCTTTTTGCGCTCGAGCGAGGATGGAGGGTCTTTAGATTTCTTTTTTAGACGCAGCTTTGGCTCGAGCGAGCTTTCTTTCGCTCTAGCTAGCCTTGCGTATTGTGTCTCTTCGCTTGAGCGAGAGGTCTTGTGCTCGAGCGTGCGTTTGCGTTTCTTTTGGACCTGAAGGTTATGTTTCTTCGCTTGAGCGAGCTTTCTTTCGCTTGAGCTAGTGAGGCCTATGTTTTGAGTTCCTTCGCTCGAGCGAGCACTCTTGCGCTCGAGCGTGCTTCTGGGTTGCAGACCTGAAGCTTGGCATTGTTCGCTTAAGCGACGCTTCTTGCGCTTGAGCGAGGTTCTTTTGTGTTTGGTCGCTTGAGCAACCACTCCTTCGATCGAGCGAGCCTCGAATATATCAGTTCACAGCAGCAGGTTTATACATCACTTTTTCATCTCTTTTTCATCTCAAACCCTAAATCCGACTCTCTCCCTCTCTACATACTTCTTCTCACTACAAATGCATCTTGTTTTAGTGGTCTTCTACCCTAGTCTCTTTGTAAGAAAGCTTGAGCTTCGCGTGGGCTACATTTTGATCCGTGAAATTGTGGGTTTGGAGCATCTTGGGTTTTCATTTTCATCTCCTTTGAGTTCCTAAATTTGAGGTAGGGATAATCTATTCACTTCTATGAGTTTTAACATAAATGTTTGTCATTTTGAATAAATGGTGAAATATGGAAATTTTGGGAAGTTTGAGGTTGAAATGTTCAAAAGAGGGACTTTAAATTCTAAACTTCATATGTGTGTGTGAATCTTGAAAATGGAGTTAGTGATGTATAATTGTCGAAATGGTGAGGGCTGGACCTTTGGGTCAATGTTGTGAATTTTGGGAGAGGATACCCTAATTGGATTAAATAATTAATTTGTATAATTAAATTGGGAATTGTGGAAATATGAAATTGAGTTGAAAATTTTGAAATTGGGGAGAATATGATTTGAATGGTGTAGTTGGATTGATTAATCACTCACCCATGGAAATGTTGATAATTTATCTATTTGATAAATTTTATTACCTGTTTAGAAATAACTGCTTGGGCTATCGGTGGATGATAGTTTTGATTGTTGTAGACACTGCATGTTGATTGGGGAAAATGGAAACTAATCAATCGAATTATGTCATTGAAGGTGACTGTGGAATTAATACATTGAATATGTGAATTGTTGGGTCATTGTTTATGACAACTTGTTATATACATTGTATATGTATATCGTGTGGGAGGAGATAGGGGATGGACTCCATTGACAATTAAGTTGGCCGGAGTGTCCAGGGTGAAAGTCCCGAAACTTTATTTATTTATGGGTGCTGGTTCCCTCGGACGTAGTTCTGTAAAATGTTAGGATTATGGAAGTGATGATTGATATATGTTATTGAAGTATTGATATATGAGTTGTAGTCTCATTTTGAGTGGTTGATTAATATAGAATTGTGTCAATGAATTGACCTGAGTAATAAAAGGATGTGAACGGGTATATGGAAATCTATGTTAATTGATTATAGAAAGAATATGAGATGGTTTGGAATTGTTAATCATTTATCGAATGCTAACGTTTTAGTTAATTCTCATATTATGTATAGCATATCTCTATTGGGCTTTGGTTCACCTTATATGGGACATCATTTTCAGGTGTAGGTGATATGCCGCCTCCAAGGATTTAGCTTGGGAGGTTGTGGGGCTGAAGTCTCCGTTTTGGTTATTTTGATTTTATGATATATGTTTTTATTTCCAAGCCAAGGGCTTTAAATTTTGAAGGGGCTTCTGACCCTTTTTGTTGAAACCAAGTGTTGGCTTGGAAAGTTGTAAGCCCGTAGGGCATTTACTTTTGTTGTCAACATGTAATACTCCTTTTTGTAATGAATACTTTGATAAGTAAATATACTTTACTCTCAAATGTTATATATATTATGGTTGCATGATTTATGGCTTTATTTTGAGGGCGTTACAATAACAAACACATATCAATTTAAATGGTAATAGTGACCTACAAATTGGCATAATAAAACTTCTTATTAAACTTACTTACATCATATGTAGGATACATAAATTGAGACAAAGAGGCATTAACTTGAGGAATGGTCATCCAGAATGAAGGAGGAAGTTGATGAGCACTTATTTAAAATAAAGGAGTCAGTTGAGGAATACTCGGCGAAAACAAGAGAGGTGGTTGAGAAGCACTCACCGAAAATAAGAGAGGAGGTTGAGGAGCAACAGATATGGGAGGTTGAGAAGGTTGAGAAGCATTATGTGAATTTGTTTTATTTTTCTTTGCCAACGTAAGCTCCAAACCACATTTTGTCCGCTTTATTCTCTTGCTAGTGCACTCTCTTTTGTTAAGTCCTTTTGGTTGAACTACATTTGTATCCTCTACACCATCCAATTCAAAGCATTCGGGGCATGTGCTCAAAGGGCTTTCTTGTTCAATAGTATCTGAAAAAGGCATAGTGAATTTTGCACTTAACATGCTTTCAATGATTGCAATTAATTCATTCGCTTTCTCTACCATCATGTTATATGTTTTCTCACTTTCAAAAGCTCTACACTCTACTGCTCTGAATATTTCCATCAATGATCTATAGTGTGAAGTTTGATGTAATCTTACATTAACCTTAATATCATGCCTACACCTATCTTTCACATTTTCAGCTCTTACTTTTTTAGTCCATCTCTTGAGAATATATTGTGAAGGAATCTCTTTGAACTTGAGGGTGTCTCTAAGGATCTTCAAACAATGACTACACAAAATGCCCTTCATTTCAAACTTCCTACAATTGCAAGTCAATGAACCATCACACTCCACTCTCACATTCCTCACCTTTACACCATCACTATCAAGAACCGTATACATGGTGTTCTCACCATCATGTTCAGTTTCTTCAATGTTTACTTCAAGGGACTTGACATACTTATCTTGAAATTCTGCAAATATTTTATTGGTGTAAACATTTGCAGCTTGCTTCATCATCTTCACTTTGATATTCATCCTTGGCAACTTTTGGCATAGAGTATATTTGGCTTGTAACTCTTTGTACATCTTCTCATAAAGAACTCGATCAAAATGCATGAAAAATTTACATTAAGTTATGATAAGACTGAATGAAATCCTTTAAGAAAGCATTAAAGGATTCACTAAGTTGGGTGCTACTCATGCCCGCACCCCTTGCATTTCTAACATATGGCCAACCCATTTTTCCTGAACCCCAAATGTTAACTTCAACCAATGATTATCTCGTACTTTATACTTGTCAAGCATTTCTTCCCATTTTAACGTAAACTCTTCTTCATCCTCAATGTCGTACATAAATTTGGATAAAACACTCTTCATCCCTTTATCCTTGATGTCCTTATCCTTGAAGATAGAATTTGCATGCCTTAATGCATTTTGCATCAAATGCCAAGTATAAAGGCGGTGGTTTGTATTAGGCATGGCAATAGGTATGGCCTTAGCTATTACAGTATCCTGATCTGTAAAAAATTTCGGAGCCTTACTTGACATCGCTTCCAAGAATCTTCTAAAAATCCATATACAATAATCGGCGGTCCTATCATACATTAAAACTGCGCAAAATATAACAATTTCTCGGTGATGGTTTAATCCAACGAAAGACGCAAATGGTTTATGTGCACTATTTTACTTATAAGTAGTGTCGAAAGTCACAACATCACCAAGTTGCCCATAATCCATGATCATTTGAGCATCAGCCCAAAATATGTTTGTAATCTGCTCCTCAATATCTAATTGGACCGAGTAAAAAAAAGATGGATTCTCCAATGATTTGTCACGAAAATATTGCAAAATGCTACCTGCCTCCCCATATGCTAAACTGTTTTGCCTCTTCGTTCTCAAATAATTTTTTTGGTCAAGTTTTGTAAACCCAAGCGACTCCCTTCCACCAACTTCATTACCCATGAGCTCAAATGCAGCATTAAGACGGATTCCAGATTTTTCGGCTAAATCTATTTCGGTTGCCTGTGATGCAGATATCTTCCTTTGGGATGGTAACATATGCGTACATTCTGCTGGTACGAAGATATGATTATGTTGTTCAACAAAATCACTAACAAAAAATTTCTGCATATTCCTATCCCACTTAATGACAACTCGGGCTTGACAACCAGTCCTCACTTCCTGCCTAGGATTTTTTGTTAACGGATCTCGCTTGTCGATAACCCGAAACCCCTCCTTATTACAAACAAATTGCCCTGAAGTGATTTGCCCCTCTTAGCTCTTGTTTACATAACCCCTTCTAATACAAAAGCCCAATCTTCCTCCATAAGCATTGTAGAAATCATATGCTTCTTGTTCTGTATCAAATGTCATGCGAACTATAGGCAAATCACAATCACCCTCGTCATTCTCAACAATGTTAGGTTCCATTTCAATGTGCCAAGTCACTTAAAAAATAAATAGGTGGTCAACATTAGCATAAAAACAAAAAATTATGTTTACAAAGTAATATAAATTGAATAAAAACTATAACGTCCTAACCCTTCACACGTCATCGATATTGTCTGCTCCGGGCCATGCCCGCACGGATTTGTTTTTCCTAGTGGGTCACCCATCTCAAAACTACTCTAGCTTAAGCACGCTTAATTGGGGAGTTCTGCTAGGGATTTCACCACCTTGGAAAAGGCCTCGATGCTATAAAGGGTCTAGATTTTTACTTTTATAGCCCAAGAACTCCCCTTCCATTTTTGATATGGGACACTGGGACCTTACGATCCACCCCCTTAGAGCTGCACATCCTTGTGCAGTAGCCTGCTAGCTTGCAAGCCCGCCCACATGCACCGAGAGACGCTAGGGGCCCACACTCAGTACTCCAGAGAGTCGACTCTGATACTATTTGTAGCGCCCTAACCCTTCACACGTCATTGATATTGTCTGCTTTGGGCCATGCCCGCACAGATTTGTTCTTCCCAGTGGGTCGCCCATCCCAGAACTACTCCAGCTTAAGCACGCTTAACTGGAGAGCTCTGCTAGGGATTTCACCACCCTAGAAAAGGCCTCGATGCTATATAAGAGTCCAGGTTTTTACTTTTATAGCCTGGGAACTCCCCCTCTATTTTCGATGTGGGACACCGGGACCTTACAATCCGAATGTAAGCCCCTGGTGTCTCTTGGTGCATGTGGTTGGGCTTGCGAGCTAGCAGGTTACTGTATGGGGACGTGCAGCCCTAAAGGGGGTGAATTGTAAGGTCCCAGTGTCTTATATCAAGAATGGAGGGGGAGTTCCTGGGCTATAAAAGTAAAAACTTGGACCCTTACTTAGCATTGAGGCCTTTTCCTAGGTAGTGAAATCCCTAGCAGAACTCCCCAGTTAAGCGTGCTTAAACTGGAGTAGTTCTGGAATGGCTGACCCACTGGGAAGAACAAATCCGTACGGGCATGGCCCAAAGCGAACAATATCGATGACATGTAAAGGGTTGGGGTGTCACAAAAACATTACAAGTGTAACACCTGCCCTTATTTAGCTTTTAATTTTATGATTAATCTTACTCAAGTATTTATCTGTGCATAATATGCTTATTTACATGCATCATATTTGTTAACAGATATGTTCATTTATGACAAGACCTGTCTGATTCATTAAATCGTAGGATTATAAAGTTTAACTAGTGGACTAGGTGGGTAGAATTGATTCACTTTAATTAGGTCAAGAAGTAATGTAATTACTTAGCTAGGTAATTCAAGTAATGAGACTAATATTTAATTAATCCAAGTTGCATAATTTAGATATAGGTATATATCTCTATATATGGACTTGTTGAATTCAATTAAAGAGAAAGAGAGACATATAATCTGAGAGAGGGAGTGAGAGAGAGTTCTACAGCTTGAGTGAGTGATTAAGAAGAAGAAGAAGGTGAGAATTTGAAGCAAATTCACTAAATTGACCCATCAAGGTAAGAATTCTTCTTAATTTCTTGTATGAGACTAATTTTCATCTTGAATTCATGAAATTTAAGGAAAGGGTGAGGAATTGGGTAGTGTAAGTTGTGTTACAAACCCTAATAGGAAAAATTCTTTCATATCTTTGCTTGAATTACTTGGTTTTGCATGATTCTAAGCTAGATTTCCATGGTTTTGTTGAAATATAGAATCTCCACATGCATAGGTTTTGCTTTCTCCTTAATCTTGAAATTGTATATGAGCTTGTAAAACTTGGGTTTGAATTTAAGGTTCTATTCTTGAGTTGAACATGGAAATTGTTTGTACACCATGTTTGTTAATTTTGGCCTTTAGTTTGATTGACTTTGGGTTTGATTTTGAGGAATTTGGAACCCCAAAAACAGAGCAAAAATTCAGTTCTGGAACACCCAGAACAGCATGTACAACTGGGAAGCCCACACGTGCGGGAAACACTGGCGCACTTGCGGCGGGAAGGCCCGCACATGCGGATAACAGGGGAGGAATTGGAAACTTTCTGCATAAAAAGCACTTGGGGGCGCACGTACGGAGAGGGTCCCGCATCTGCGGTCAAGAAGCTCCGCACGTGCGGCTATTTGGTTGCCTCAGATTCACTTTTCTGTGTTGTTTACTCCACTCTCGGACCTTCGTTAGCGTGTGTCACACCCGTAATTGATGTCCAATTGCATTGCATGAACATTTAACAAGAGTAAACTACATTTAAACTAATCAATTCCTAAGTTATGGAACTAATTAATTGGGTGTTTGGTGAATTAAGTGAACAACGCTTGTATCTACCTGTGTAGGTCAAACGCCTCATTCTAATCACCTGCAACACGAAACTGACTGTGAGTAACACTATTGTAAAAATATGTTTGATTTAAATTATCTTCTCTCTGCTTCAACTTATGCATTACTCTGATATGTTTCTTATGTTGATGAATGATAATTCTATCTCAGTTTTCATTATTTACTATGACGATCCTGGCACCTATTCATATGAGTACAGTTCTGTCAGTTCCATTTCATAGAACTCCTGTTTAATATGGTAATGGCTATCATGTCTGATCTTCAGTCTTCATGATCGCCTGTTCGGTCTTCCTGACCGCCTGTCCAGTCTTCATGACCATCTATTCGGTCTTCTAGACCACCTGTATTTATTGCTTTTGAATATACACCGTGAAATGTTATGCTTCTCGAATGCTGTATGAACCTGCTCAGTTTGTGTTTTATTTTATGTTATAATTATCATTCAAGACCCCCTTATTCAGTTGTTATTCATTGGGCTATAGCTCATATTTTGGTTTATCGTGTAGGTGATCCAGCTCAGGAAAGGACGTAGTGGCGTCAGTCTTGCTCTGGTTTTGTCAAGCTAACTACTGTGCCTCACCGTGATGTTCCCATCTACCTAAATTTTGAAGTATCCAGTGTTCACCCTTTTGTAACTCACTCATGTGTTTTGGCCAATTGTCACTGGCATTATAATTGTTGTCGATGGAAGTAAGTTTTCCCTTTTTATTGTCTATTTAGACAAACTTGTAATAGTGCGTTGTACTTCTACATGTATATATGTGTATATATGTAGCAATGTCTTTTGTTTCATGTGAATTCACAGCTCATTGGACATTTTGTTTTCTTACATAATAGCTTCTGCTAGCCCCGCTTATTTGCTTTGTTTAGTTAAGCCTTCGGTAATCGCGGATTATTGGCCGATTACGGCACTAAACCTATAGGAGTAGGTTTGGGTCATGACAGTAAAATAGTCTTTTGAACATTTATCCTTATCCAGTCCGTCCAACCAAACATTGGATTCACTAAAAATAGTCCTTTCTGGACATCTAATCCTATGAGAAAACAAATACAGGATATATATCCAATCCAACCAAATAATACGGGGGATTCATAGTCCCAGGATTCAAGTCCGATGGATTCTAATCCCCCCTTATCCATTCCGTCCAATCAAACACACCTTAAGGCCATGTTTGTTTGGGTGGATATGAGCTTGGGATTGGACTAATAGTCCAATAAGGTCATGTTTGTTTAGGTGGACATGAGTATGGGATTGGACTAATAGTCCAATAAAATTATTAATCCGATATTTGGTTAAACAATTGAAGTACGGACTAACAATCCATCGGATCTGGTATCCCACATATGATGGATTATTTAATCCCACATAGAATGGTGGGATATAAATTGGAGGACTAAGCCAAAGCCTAGACTATTAGTCACTCTTATAATCCTAACTCAATCCGAACATAAGATAAGATAGACAATCTAAAGGATTCGTAATCCTAGGACTATTAGTCATGGGAATACTAATCCAACCTAATTCAGTCCACTCAAACAAACATAGCCTTAAATTATTAATCTGATGTTTGGTTAAACAATTGAAGTACGGACTAACAATCCATCCCTTGACTATTAGTTAAGATAGGATACATAATCCAAAAGGATTCGTAGTCCTATGACTATTAATCATGAGAATGCTAATCCAACCTAATCTAGTCTGCCCAAACAAACATGTTGTCCTATCTATCTAAGGAGCCGGTCGCCCAAGCGACCAGATGTTAGCCCGGTGAACGGCCAAGTCCTTTGTTATCTCGGTTTTGCCTGGTTGAAACAAACATGTTGTTTGCCCGGTTTGTTGTTTTTTTGGATCAAAAGAAGGCCCAGAGCCCGGTTCACCCCAGTTCTTCATGTTCTTCAGGAGACGAAGAACACCAAGAACAGTGGAGTTTGATCGGATTCTAGGCTATGCCCTAAAGCTATGTTTTGGTCCTAATGGTGTAAAATAAGAAAATAGCAATAGGGTGGATCGAATCTTACCTTTGGAAGTGGGCAGTTCTTCCAAGAGTGAGAAATGGCAGTCGAAGTCGAGTAGAGGGCTTGAGCTCTGGATCGTCAGGAATGATAAGGGCAGTAGGAAGAAAGCTGAGGAGGGTGTTGTATTGAAGGGTGAAAGCCGCCCAAATTCAAATCTCTGCAAAAACGGCGGGTTGGCTGCCCGATGACCAATGGCAGACCGCCACGTGTCACCATTTATGGCTTTGGCAGGACTGAAGCGACGGGTTGAAAAGACGAAGAGCCAACGAGCTACTTTCAACGGGAAAGTGGTGCCGAGGAAATAACCGGTCCAATCTGCGACAATTGCGTCAACTAGCTCGGTCGAAGCTTGGCCTCTGACGACCAGAAAATTATCTCGACGAGGATGAATAATCCCAGTCACGCTTCCGCGGACGGATTAAGGGGCAATTGAGAGGGTGATTTATGTCCGTGTGGGCCGAGGTATAACCACAAGTTGGGGCCCAGCAGAGCATGGGCCGAGATGATCGACTGTTCACCCGGAGATGGGCTACCAGAACTTGGGCCGGCAGAGTTTGGACTTGTGCTGCCCCGGACCGTGCAGAAGTGCTCGCCAGGAAGTGACCGGTCAGACCAGGATGCTCGGTCCGAGGATGTCGAGAACAGACAGACCGAGAGCCGGCGCTCGGAAAGGCGCGGTCAGCCGAGTAGTTGACTGACCGGCGAGAAGCCGACCAAAGGAGGACCCGGCTAAGCTTTGCCGAGATGCCGCCTAGCCCGGTCCTTCATTCGTTATCCGGTTGGCGCTTAAGGTATGAAGCATGGTATGACCGAGGAGGGCAGCTCGGCTGCCGAGCTCCAGCTATGCTGGCAGGCAGTTGAGAGCAGGTGATGAAGGCATGGTTTTTGACAGATGGGATAGCAGAGCCACGTGTCAGGAGATGACAGGGAGTGGATATGGGCCAGAAGTATATAAGCTGTCTGCGCCCCCCATACGCGACAGACGAACATCTGTAAGAATCCTTACACTCAACACTCTCTCCCTTCTCTCTATTCCCTCTAAGGTGTGTGCTAACTTGACCGTCGGAGGGGTTTTCCGGCCACACACCGCCGGGTAGCTCACCTTATTGACTCGCAGGTGATCGGACATCGACGGAGCTCGGAAGAAAGGAATACGGGCACGCCGGAATATTTGCTTCCCCCAGTACACATATTATATAATTTTCAAATTGTATTAATGAATATTAAATTAAATTAGAATTAAATATTTATATTTAAATGTCAAATTTTATAGTTAGAATTAATTCCAATTTTAATATTAGTATTATCTCATTATTATTAAATTTTTAAAATTGTGTATTAAATTATATTAAATTAAATAAATTTTAATTTATTACTATTCTATAGAATTAACACTCTCATTTAACTTATTTGATATTTATTAAATTCCCATAATCTTAATATTATATTAAAATTTCTCAAAATTTGTATTAAATTATATTATATTAGTAATATTCTAATTAAATTTATACTAATTAAGGCCAAGCGTTTGGTCATCTTTCAAAAAAATCTAAAAGTCAAAAATCACTTATCGCTATTTAAGTACATCATCTCATTTAAGTGTCACATCACCTCTCTAACACATCACTTCAAACCCAATCCAATTTCCAACCATGATTTATAAAAAGTCAAAAAGTACACTTATTTAGTCTTCACCAAACTGGCCTAAATTTAATATTTGCTTTATATTTAATTTATCCTTATATAAAATCAAAAATATTTATGTTAATATTAAATTCATATATATTAAATTCAATTCATAATTATTTATATAAATTTCAAATATATTAAATCTTATAATATGTTAGATAGACAAAAGATTAATTAAACTTTTTAAATCATTCCCAATCAAGGAGATATGATATAATTGGAGTGGCATGATAGTTCTTATATATTCTCCACTTTTAAGGATATTATAATCCATGAGATATTATTTACTCTATAAAAAAAATTACAAACTTAAAATATGTAACTCCACAAAGATATAACAGTCTAATCCCGCACTTATATATTTCGGAAATCAAAACGGGCCTAAGCATTAATATCTCAGTAGCACGGCACTATTTTGACTCTCCTATCCTAATTTCTTCCATTGGCATATATTGACCTTTCCTTATTTACTCCTCTCTATGTCGGGACACATAGGGTACTTCTCAATCTCAATCTCAACTCAATCAGATCTCCTAATAATCGAACCTGAATACTAGTATATATACGCAGAATCACAACTTCCAGTATTGCATTCGCTCCTCTTTGTAAGTGGATTCTCTCTTGAGCTCTTCTCGTTACTTCCAATCAACGCATCCCCTAATGAATCTTAATGTAAAATATACTTTTTTTTTAGTATATATTTTGTTTCGTTGTTCTTGTATTCAACCACACCACACCACAGCTGAAGCGGATTATTAGCGTGCTCCAGCAAATATCTACGGTTTTAGCTCTCTGACATACATCATATCCTTAAATCACTAACGGAGACTGACCAGTTTAGTGGGTGTTTCATTTCTTGGGCTTGAGAAATCTTGTAAAAAAGATCATCCTTTGTAGAACGTGTGCGTCTTCTGTCATTGGATTTTTTCCTTTATTTTTATATTATATATATGTAATTTTACTCTTTTCTATAGAGATAAAGCACCACTACATTCGACCAAAATTCAATATATTTCTTTCTTATTCCTTTCTCCTAATATCAAAGCTTCATACTGGATACTATTGATCCATTTACTCAACTTTCTGCATGACAATGTACCTATTACTACGGTTCTATAGTTTTTCTCATTTACTCTATGCCTTATTATTCAAACCACCGATTGTGTGAATAATTTTGGTAGTCACTCATAAATCGTTTAATGTATATAATCTCAAGTGCCTTCAGAAAATCTCCGCTGTCAATCCTTCTTGTTGGTATGTACCCCGTAGTCTTCATAAGTCAATGTGAAAGCAAATTAATCCTTAAGAAAAAGAAAAGAGTAAAAAAAGATGACCGGTAAGAACGAAGGTGAATAGCAAAAGAATTCTCTGTAAAAATGAAAATGCACTATATATTTGGAGTAAAGTTTTCTAGCCATGTGCGTGTAATTCAAATTGTCTTCGTGTTTTAAACAAACTTTGTATACGTACCTTGGGATATGAAAGCAAAGTTTTACCAACTTTAAGAAAAAATAAAATACAGAAAAATTATGTTAAAATGAAATATCCATTAATCATTTGGAGTTGGAGCTGGTTAAGGTTAGATATACAAGGATCAGATTGACTCTTTTATTTTGTTATAAACAACTCGACTAGGCTGTACCCGCAAGCTTCCTACATGTACATGTTTGCACAATCTCCCAATCTTACTTATGCATTGCCTTTCTTTCCTCACTTGTTCCTGTTCTATGATGTGCACTCGTGGTCTTTTTTATTTTTTACCTTTTAATAAGTCCAGTGTAATACAATAAATCATAATCATTTCTTGAGGTTCCGTTCTTTACCAAATAAACTAGTCATTAAGGAAATCTTTCTTTTCTTTGACAGCATCTTACATCAGTATTTGAATCCTGGTTAATTATTTAGCTCTAATCACTTGTACTATTAATGAACGCACTAATAAAATTTTGGTTGTGTGAATATTTTGTCATGTACAGAGACACACTATTTTTTTTTTTTTTTGATTAAAAGACAGAGGTATCGACACTTTATTGGCACCTAGTGCATGGCCTGTACAGTATACGCTTATAGGCATGTTTACTTTGGCCGTTGCGAGCATGAAAGCTCTTGGGATTAGGACTACCAAAAATTATTAATCCTCCGATGGTTTGGTCTTTTCTTGAAAGCAATTGATAGTACGGGATCACCAGGATGTCTAACAACTCACAACCAAAATTTAGGCATATCATGATGAGATGGACTGTATTTGTCTCACAGAAAGAGGTGGTTCGAATAGCAATAATTATTAAATACCAACTGAAGCCGAAATCTCTGTGACTATTAAGGTTCCCTCCTTGTTTAATGCTTGCTAGAGAGAAAAGGCCCGTCAATTCAAACAGTGTTTTGTCCAACTTTGGATTCCCAACCGAGATGAAGTACTCCGGTTGGAAGAGTTGGCGTCTTGTCCAACATGGTATCTTGTCCAAACTTAGCAACAACCGAGATGGATATTTCGGTGCGTGAATTTGTTTTGTTATGGACTCCGGTCGACCAAGTGTTCAAATGATAAGTCGTACTGAGATAGTTTGCTGAAGACGGAATTAATTACTACCGGGCAAACACTTGGCGAAAATTCAAAATTTTTCATTGATAAAGAAATTCATTACAAAAGGTGGGGACAAAGCCCGGTTACATCAAGTGTATTGAAAGCAAAAATACAAAGAAAAGAAACCTAAACTAAGGGGGAAAGATTGGTGAACTCATCCTCGGCAGCATTAGCATCAAGGTCAATAGCTTGGCTTGCTTCTTGGGCGCCGGGCTCATCGTTGCCGGGCTGTTCAGGCACCTCGGCCTCTTCTTCCTCAGAATCTGTGTCATCCTCTCCATCTTCAAGTCCTTCCTCGGCCTCCGCTTGAAGCGCAGTAAATACATCATTTGCATATGGCACGAGGTAGACCGGTAGTGAAGCTTTGGGAGGATTGGCAAAAACGTCGGTGTCAGAGCCCTGGCCGAGGTGTTCGCAGGCTGACTTCCAACCGGCCTTGAAGTAGATGTCTTGTGTTGCAAACACCTGCTTCTTATAGCTGTCCTCGGCCTCGTTGAACCCGGCCTTGTTGGCAGCCCGGCAAGCCTTCTTCTTCGCCTTCTTCAAAGCGTCAACCTCGGCCTGAAGCTCACTTTGTTTTTTCTCGGCTGCGCCCAGCTGACCGAGCAGTCTATTATTGTCATGGTTGGCCATTTCGAGAGAAGCTTTAGCCCGGCCGAGCTCGGCTTGAAGGCTTTCAACATGGCTGGCAGTGTCGTTGGCTTTCTGCCTAAGCCGGTGGATGCGCTCCAAGACCAAATGTTGTTTCTGAATGGCCTGCACAAAGAAGCAAAGTACATCAGAAAGGGGACCGAGCAAGAAGGACCGAGCAAACACTAGTGAAATGTTAAAAAGAACGTCGACTTACCCTAGCCATGGACTTCACGGAAGATTTTACCAGCCGGGTGTCAGGGACGTGGTCACTGCCTACCACGTCGCCCGGTAGGAGAAATGCTTTGGAGATATCGAAGGCGAGCAAATGTTCTTTGTCAGCCTTGATTGAAGCCGTCGCCGGGATGTCCTGTCCCCGGTGCTTCAGCTGAGGACGCCAAGCGGGCACGGGAGCAGGAGTTTCAGCTGGATGTTCGGTTGTCAGCTCGGCGACGAGCTCGGCGGAGGGATCTGCCCTTGGTCTTTTTCCAGCCCGGCGCGCTTCTCTGGCAGATTGCACGGCAGCTGGAGCTGGAGAAGCAAGGGCTACGACGGCTGCACTCGATTGACCGGCAGCCGGGGAACGGGTGGTGACGCTCGGTATCTCGGCTGAGGTCGCGGTTAGAAGGTTTTTGATCCGAGATCTTTTGGCCATTTCTTGCTCGTCGGTTAACCGGATTAATGGGACGTCTGGTAGGGTTGGATCTGGAGGAGGCGAAGGAGCTCTGAGGAAGTCGGTTACTCTACTTCGGCGCGGAGCAGAATATCTGTAAGTCGGTGTGTAGCCGAGCAATTCGTTGCAGTCTCGGTGACGGTACCTAAGCACGGCCCGAATTGCCTCGACGTTGGGGAATTGGTAGTTGGCTTGCAAGGCTTGGATAGCTGCAAAAGAAACAGGGAAACCGGTTAGTTAAACTAAAGAATAAAGTTCACCGAGCAAGTTTGAGTGGCTTACATGAAGAACCGAAGTCCTTGCTTATGAACCAGCCCGGCACCTCGGCTGTTTCGTAATTGCCGGACACCCAGAAGAAATCATCGTCGTGCATATCTTTATCCGGGGTGCCGGTTACGATTTTTTCCTTGCCCGGCCTTATTTTCAAGTAGTAAGCCAGGCTGTCACCGGTGTGGCCCATAGTGTATTGCCTCAATATCTCGGCTAGGCCTAAGTTGGTGCCTAGCCGTTGGTTCAATTCGTGTACGCCGTTGATTATTCTATAAGTGTTGGTGGACACCTGTGTGGGTGCCAGCCCGGTTCGGCGGAGGAACTCGGTTATGAGAGGGTTGAGCGGGAAACGAAGACCCCCTTCAACGATGGATAGCACGGTGAAGGGGCATTCCTCCCTACCCCAGGGTGTGGTCTCCTCTTCTGCGAGCTGCAGGTGGACGTCGGCCGGGACGCCGTAGTCCTCCCTGAACGTAGCCAGCGCAGCCGGAGTATCCACTAGGAAGCGGAACTTCCCCATTTTTGGCCGGCTCAGTGTATCCTGGCTGAGGGGTTTGGCTCTGGGTATTGGATGCTGGCCGGTCCTGAGAGCCTCAGGAATGACGGTGGTCCCCTTGGACTCTGCAGGAAAAGGATGGCAAGTGTTAGCGCGGTCGCGCGAAGGTGCCGGATTTAGCTCGGTCATTAAGTGTGCCAAACCACCTCGGTTTTCTATTCTATCTAAGGAGCCCGGTCGCCCAAGCGGACCAGATGTTAGCCCGGTTGAACGGCCAAGTCCTTCTGTTATCTCGGTTTGTGCCTTGGTTGAAACAAACATGTTGTTTGCCCGGTTTGTTTGGTTTTTTGGATCAAAAGAAGGCCCAGAGCCCGGTTTACCCCAGTTCTTCAGTGTTCTTCAGGCAGACGAGGAACACCAAGAACAGTGGAAGGTTTGATGCAGATTCTACGACCTATGCCCTAATAGCTATGTTTCTGTACCCTAATGTGTGTAAAATGAAAGAAAATAGCAACTAGGGGGATCGAAAATCTTACCTTTGGAGGTTGGGGGCAGTTCTTCCAAGAGTGAGAGTTGGTAGTCGAGATCGAGTAGAGGGCTCGAGCTCTGGATCGTCAGGAAGTATAGAGGCAGTAGAGAGAGAGGCAGTAGAGAGAAACGGCTTGAGGAGGGTGTTGTATATGTAAGGGTGAAAGGCCGCCCAAATTCAAATTCTGGCAAAAACGGCGGGTTGGCTGCCCGATGACCAATGGCAGACCGCCACGTGTCCCCATTTATGGCTTTGGCAGGACTGAAGCGACGGGTTGAAAAGACGAAGAGCCAACCGAGCTACTTTCAACGAGAATAGGTCAGCCGAGGAATATAACCGGTCAAATCTGCGGACGATTACGTCAACTAGCTCGGTCGAGGCTTGGCATCTTGATGACAGGAGAAACGTTATCTCGGACGAAGTGAGTAATCCCAGTCATGCTTTCGCGGACGGGATTAAGGGGCAATTGAGAGGGTGATTTACGATCCGGGGTTGGGCCGGGGTATCGACCGGGCAAGCTGAGGGCTCAGCAGTGTATTGGGCCGAGATGATAAACTGTTCACCCGGAGATGGGCTACCAGAACTTGGGCCGGGCAAGGTTTGGACTATGTGCCGCCCCGGACCGTGCAGAAGTTGCTCGGTCGGGAAGTGACCGGTCAGACCAGGATGCTTGGTCCGAGGATGGTCGAAACCAGACAGACCGAGAGACCGGCGCTCGGAAAGGCGCGGTCAGCCGAGGTAGTTGATTGACCGGCGAGAAGGCCGATCAAAGTAAGCATCCGGGCTAGGCTCGGCCGGGATGCCGCTTAGCCCGGTCCACCGTTTGTTTATCCGGTTAGGCGCTTAAGGTATGAAGCATGGTACGACCGAGGTAGGGCAGCTCGGCTGCCGAGCTCCAGCTGTGCTGACAGGCAGTTGAGAGCAGGTGATGAATGGCATGGTTTATGCTGACAGATGGGATAGCAGAGCCACGTGTCAGGAGATCACAGGGAGTGGATATGGGGCTCAGAAGGTATATAAGCATGTCTGCGCCCCCCATACGGGACACGAAAACATATCTGTAAGGATTTCTTACATTCAAACACTCTCTCCCTTCTCTCTATTCCCTCTAAGGTGTGTGCTAACTTGACCGTCGGAGGGTTTTTCCGGCCACACACCGCCGGGTAACTCATCGTTATTTGCTCGCAGGTGATCGGACATCGACGGAGCTCGGAAGAAAGGAATACCTGCACGCCGGAATATTTGCTCCCCGTAGATATATTAACAGCCTCCGTCAAACTCAAGGAGGATAAACATCTTGAGTTTGGAGAGAGAAACTAAAATATACAATAAAACTAAATAAAATAAAAGACAAATAGATTGCAAAACCTAGAATAGGAGCGCAAGGGCGCTTAAGATATATCAGAGGCCAGAGCTAATATCAAGAAACAATTTATTATCGTGTCGGACCGTTATAGGAACTGGCCAAAAGTAATGCCGGAACAGTTTAAGTTCATGCCGGACCATTGTAGGAACTGACTGGAATCAATGTTGGAACAGTTTACGGGGTCATGTCGGACCATTGTAGAGATTGAATGTTAAACCAGCAAGCGTGGCACACACATAACTTATGGCGTTGTAATGCCCTCAAAATAAACCGAAAACATCATACATTCTTACACATGCTTAAACATAAGAGAATGACGCATAATTACATTTCATCAGAGTATTCATTACAAAAGGTATTACATGTTGACAACAAAAGTAAATGCGCTATAGGCTTACAACTTTCCAAGTCAACACTTGGTTACAAAAGGAGAGTACCAACTCTACACAAATAAACCCTTGGCTTGATATACATGTAATACAACAAGAAGAACGACAAAAATAAGGTCAAACAGCCTCAAGCCTCCCAAGCTACGTCCTTGGAGGTGGCATGCCACCTGCACCTGAAAATGATGTCCCATATAGGGTGAGCCAACGCCCAGTAAAGATATGCTAGACATAATATGAGCAATAACTAAAACATTAGCATTTGATAAATGTTTAACTCACATAAATCAATTTTCAACCCATTTCAATTACATGACAAAAGTGTCCATGTTTCATTCCATTTTCTCAATTCATAACTATGGCTCAGAACCTGGCCAAACAATTTAAATGAGAATGTATCTCATTTCAAAGCATTATCCTATCCATAATTCATTTTCAGATGAGATATCACTCATATCAAAACACTTCCATAATTTACAAGAGATACACATTTTTGTTGTATCAATATCACATTAACACTTCCATACTTCATAAATAATACACAGATTCGCTGTATCATTACATCAAAAGATACACAGTTTTGCTATATCCATGGAGTCCATCCCCTATTTCCTTCGAAACAATATCTGGTTTAGGAGTCCATCCCTCATCTTCCCCTAAACCGTGTAGTACATCCCCTATCTTCTCTCACACAATACAATGTATATAAACACGTATCACATACATAATCATTCAATACATAAATTTGATGTATTAATCCAACCGTCATATCCGATGACGTATTCAATTGATTAGTTTTAGGTTGCCTAATCATCATGCATTGTCTACAACAATCAAGACTATCCTCCACTGATAGCCCAAAGTAGTTATTTCTAAACAGATAATAATTACATCAACAGATAATTTATCAACAAGTTTCAAAGGTGAGTGATTAATAAATCTAACTCCACCATTCCATGTCATATTATGCCAATTCCATTAATTCCAACTCAATTTCATGTTCCCCGAATTCCCAAATTAATTACATGAATTAATTTGCCATAACAATTTAGGGCTTTTTCCCCTATTTCTCAATATTGACCCAAAGGCCCAAAATAGTTTCAATAACTTCAATACTACCATTTTCAGACCCAAACCACACATTTATGAGTCAAGACCACAAAATCCCTCTTTTGAAAATAACATATTTTAAATCCTAACTTTCCAAATCAACCCATCTATACAAATCACTCAATGTCTATGTTAAAGCACATAAGAATGAGTAGGAATCCCTATCTCAAATCCGGAGCTCAAGGGAGAGGATGATGAAAAACTCAAAGTGCTCCAAACACCAAAATTTTCAGATCAAAAGGAAGAGCAAAACCAACTCCACACTTTTTGCAAAGGACCCATGGTAGAAGATCAATAGATCTATATGATATTGAAGAGAGAAGTTGACATCTAGAGAGAGAGACTCTCAAATCTGGGTTTGGGAAAGTAAGAGAGAGAAAGAAAACAAAAAGTGAACCAAAAAGGTGAAATCCCGAAGTGATATAGAAATTGCCCCTCTCGAGCGTGGAACTCCCCGCTCGAGCGTCAGACACAGACTTATGCTCGAGCGTGAAAAGCGCCGCTCGAGCGCCAAATGCACACTTCTAGAAGTTTTGCAAGCGATGGTCCCCGCTCGAGCGTCAAACTCCCCGCTCGAGCGGAGGAACAAAATCAAAGGTTCACGCTCGAGCGTCAAAACACCCGCTCGAGCGGAGAAGCAACAACAAAGGGCCGGCTCAAGTGTCAAAATCCCCGCTCGAGCATGAAGGCCAAAATCTAGGCATCAACTATTGGTTTCTAAATACACCCAACCTAAAACAAACCTGCCCAACACATCCTATAACTCACAAATAACGAATCAAAGGATGAAAACCAAATATATACAACGACCGACTCCACGAAACCTAAGTCCGGATACGACAAACAAAGGAGAAAGAACCGTGATCGCTATAACCTTCCCCCCTTAAAGAATTTCGTCCCCGAAATTAAGTACAAGTTTTCAAAAACAAGTTTTTCTCAATTCTCAACAATGTTACAATTCATTACCCAATAACTTGACCCGTTACCGGTCATTCCTTCTCTATTCAAGAGGCATTTCACAATATATACTTAATATGAATCATTAGCATGCTTTCCTTTGAAATTTACCAATCTCAACACATATTCCACAATTCTATACCATATTCAAAATTCATGATATATTTCCATTTCTACAGTGCATTCAACATATGCGATGTTACATTAAACTTCCATTTCAAGGCAAGTTTCAAAATACTTCCACAAATCAAAACATATACAATGTTTTACAACTCAAGGCATATTTAATGCTCTTAAAGTTCATCAATATTACAAAATCCCAATACATGGTTAAGCATTTACAAACAAGTCCGGATATTTCTCATAGACATCTACCTCACGTTCCCAAGTGGCTTCTTCCACTCCGTGATGTTTCCACAAAACTTTCACCAAGGGAATGGTCTTGCCTCGCAAGACTTGATCCCGCCTATCCAAGCCCCGAACCGGTCTCTCCTCATACGAGATATCCTCGTCAACTTCCAAATCGGTCCAATCCAGCACATGGGACGGATCCGGTTCATATTTCCGAAGCATACTAACATGAAACACGTCATGCACTCTGGACAATTGCG